GTCGACACAACGTCCATACTAAAAAAAATGGGTTGGGTTGACCAAGCGGTCGAGTTGGCGCAGGTTTGTGTGTCACACCGCAGTTGCCTGACCAGCCGGTCAGCCCGCTGATGCAATTCGGTCAGGCTGTCGGTTTGGTTAGAATGGTCAACCGACGGCTTTCCACACCGGCGATTGTCGGCCAGCCGCCCGATCTTTGACCGTCCGGGTGCAGGCTGTCATCAAGTGTCATTTAGACACTCGGCCTCCTGACGACAGCCCCCCTGACCCATGTATGACCGACGGTTTGCCGAGGCCATCACCGTCAAGCCTCCGGCAGTATGACCCAAGCTTCAGCCAGGACATCCAACCGGGGCTGCATCTCCAGCTTTGGTCAACCGCTGGAGACCAGGACTGACGGTCCTGCCAAACCGACGCACTGCTGTCTCAAAGAGGCTTGCCAGGGCGCCTCATGAAGGATGCGGTTGGGATGACCAATGCCGAGTCGTCGGCTTGACGTCGGGTCACCCACTTTTATGAAACTTCAAAACCGTCTCACTGTTTATCTTTTCAGGTGAGAGGTGGAGAAAAATTGGTATGATTTTTTTTTTTTTTTTTCAAAAAATTGACTTAGAGAAAAAAAAAGCATCTTGCATATGGAGTTTGCGCAATCAAACATCCATCTCGGTCATGTAACTCAAGCAAGCCTGCCCAAGTGGTTAAGATTGTCAGTAGAAGTGATCATGTTGGGTTTCATCTTGTGATCGAGCCCGCTGTTCAGCAATATTTTTTTTTGGCTTCATGATCTGGGCAGGATTCCCACAGCAGCCTGCAGGCCAGAAAGCCCAAATTTTGGCTTCTCACGTCGGAACCTGCAGCTGTCAATACAGGGTCCAAATCTCACGGACCGATGACAGCAATGCAGTCGATCTGACGGCAGAGAACGGGCGGGCTGACTCAAAAGCTCGTTGTAAAGAATTCGGGGACTTCGGAACTTTAGGACGGCTAGTTTCACTTGAAACTCTTTACTTGAAAACTGAGGTTTTATTTGTAAGACTTTTTACGTTGTATGTATTTGTGGATTGCGTATGTTTTTAGAATAATAGAGAAAAATAACAGAATAAGTCTCTTAAGGAAAACAGAAAGAGATGGAAATCAGGGAACTATTTATAGATTTTTTTTTTTTTTTTGCAGAAACAAAACGAGAGACAAGAGACTTTTGTTCATGATTGTCAACAGAAGAAGTTTATCGTGAAGTAACAGTTTTGTAACCTATCCTTTGATCCGTAACTAGAAAATGAATGATTTTATATAAAGCGAGAGAATTTAAAACGTTGCAAGGATAGAAAAAGACAACCTAAATAAAAGAATCGTTACAGGTAGAAATAAAAATTTTTATTTTATTTATTTATTATATTTATTTATTTATTTATTTTTTTTTTGGTCGCAGGGTTTCCTGGCCTGATTTTGACAAAATGACCTGCTCATGTACCCTAGCAAAGAATTTGAACTGCCTTGTCGGGTGACAGGATAACAGGCTGAATACCGAAATCGTCGTGGAACTTCTCCAGATAAGGATGAATGGATTCCGCAAAATGTCCCCCTTTTACCCAAGAGTTATCTGCAGCTGAGCCATTTCTCCAAGACACCAAATATTCGTGCTTCTTCGAACCCATCTTCCGATAACCGATGATGGTTTCCACATCATTTTCATCAATGTCACGTTGGAGGTTTGAATGCCGGCCCAAAGAGGATGTAGGGACCTTCCGCCCGGGATATGATTTCGGATCTACAAATGGAACCAACAAGGAAGAATGGAAAACTGGGTGAATGCGTTTCATATCAGGAGGGAGAGAGAGACGAAACGCTTCCTTCCCAATTTCGTCGGCTATTTTGAAGGGACCCAAACGCTTGAAATCCAATTTCTCGGAGGGACGCTTGGATGTAATGTTGGTTCGAAGAAGCCAAACCCAATCACCCACCGAGTGGGAAGGAGAATCCCTAGCCCGCCGATCAAAATGCTCTTTCTGGACCTCCTTTGCCCTTTTCAAAAACTGCGTCAAACCCTCCTGTACTTCATTCAATCGTTCAATTAAAGAATCAGCCGCCGGAACCAGTGAGCCTGCTGAAAGAGTGTTCATGCGAGGATGGAAAGAAAACTGAGCGAAAAAGGGGGAAAATCCCGTGGAGGCCGAAACCGAAGTGTTGAAAACCAATTCCGCCATGGGAAGAAGGGCAACCCAATCATCCTGCCGATCAGAGATGAAGTGACGAAGATAGGTTTCGACGGTTTGATTTGTCCTCTCGGTTTGTCCATCAGTCCGAGGGTGCCAAGCAGTAGAAGGGGCCGGCTTGATTCGAAGCAGCCGCTGAACCTCTGTCCAAAACCTCGAGACGAAAATCGAACCGCGGTCGGAGACAATTTTGTCCGGAAGGCCATGATACCTGATAAAACGGTCTAAGAATACGTTAGCAAACTCTTCGGCTGCCCAGGTCTCACAAGCCGGGATGAAGTGAGCAGCTTTGGAAAAATGATTGACTATAACCAAGATGGAGTCAAATCCCGTCGATAAGGGTAGCTTTACAATGAAGTCGATGCCTATCACGCTCCAGGGCCGCTCCGGGATGGCTAAGGAAACCATGAGACCAGGGGGGCGCTGATTCGAGTGCTTGGCCCGTTGACAGGAAAGGCAAGACTTCGTGTACTTGATAACGTCGCCACGAATTCCTGGCCAAGAGAGTGTACGAGTGATGTTCTGCAGAGTTTTCAGCGATCCCAGGTGCCCAGCGGATATGTCATCATGAAAAGTTTGTAAGATGTGGGGACGTAGCTCAAGCGGGACAAAGATCCTATCCTTCAACCACCAAAACCCTTGTTCGAAGCGGAGGGGAGATTCGTCATCGTCCTCAACTACCGGTGGATCCTTCTCATAGGCATGCAGAAGGAGATCTCGAAGGCGTTGAGAGGGTTGGCAAAACATGTGGTCTGATAAAAGATCCGAAGATTCTTCAGGTCTGTCCCCGTCCACCTCACAAACCTCGGCCGATTCAGGGCTCTTCCAGCCTTTCATTCATGACGATGACACCCTTATCCTGCCGAAGTAAGATCCTAGAGAGCTCTTCTTTACCGTCGTCGGTAATGAAATCGGGTCTCCGTGTAGGCGGGTCAGCCGGGTTCCTAGTGCCTGAAATGTGCCTAATGACAAAGTGAAAGGAGGAAAGAAAAGAGGCCCATCGCGCCTGTCTATCGGAGAGGCGTTGATTTTCCATAAAGTAGCGTAGATTGGCATGGTCGGACATTACCAAAACTGGATCATTAGTATCAATCAACCACGCTCGCCACTCTGTAAAGGCGGAGATGATCGCATATAACTCCTGATCGTGCACCTGCCAAAGGGCCTCCCGAGGTGTCAATTTGCGAGACAAGAAGGACACCGGGTGGAGATCGCCGTTGTCGTCCGGCTGGCAAAGGACCCCCGCGATGGCGTATTTCGAACTGTCCACAAACAAAACCCTGCTTTTGGCAAAGTCGAAATGAGCCAAAAGCGGTGCCTCAGTAAAGCAGGCCTTCAGACGAGAAAAGGAACTAAGACAGGGCTCCCCTTTTAATCCTTGTCCGATATTGACACCCTTTTTCGTAAGTCCCGTGAGAGGGGCCGTGATCTCCGAAAACCTATGGATGAACTTGCGATAAAAATTAGTAAAACCAAGAAATTTTTGCAAGTGACAGATGGTCTCGGGGTACGGCCACTGAGTTATTGTATCTAACTTCGCGGGATCCATACGAATACCATGGGGAGAAATATCAAAACCTAAAAAGGAAACCTTGTCAACATAGAAGGAGCATTTCTCAGGGGAAGCAAAAAGGCGGTTTGTTTGCAATCTGGACAAAGCCTGGGTGACATGTATCGTGTGTTCTTCTCGAGTCTTGGAAAAAATGAGAATGTCATCAATGTATACGAAACAGGAGATGTGAAGGAACTCCCGGAGGACATGCTGAATGAACCGCTGGAAACAAGCAGGAGCGTTCGCTAGTCCAAATGGCATGACTAGATACTCAAAAAGGCCCCAAGGGGTTCGAAAAGCTGTCTTCCATTCATCCCCTTCGGCTACCCGTAACAGGTTAAATGCCGCTTTGAGGTCAATTTTTGTGAAGAACTTACAACCTTGCAATTGATTTAATAATTGACCCAAGATCGGAATAGGATAACTATCTCTTACCGTCATTGAATTCAATCCCCTGTAATCAACACAAGGTCTTGGTTTCTTACCTGGAACTCTCACAAAAAATATGGGAGCTGCGGCACTTGAAGAAGAAACACGAATGAAACCTTTTTTCAATTGCTCATCAACATATTCTTTCAGCTGGGCTAACTCTACAACAGATAGATTGTACAGTCCCCCAAAGGGCGGGACGGCTCCTTCGCGCAAATTGATAGAAATGTCCATATCACGATGCGGCGGCAGGGTACAATTATCCTGTGGACGGAAAACATCAGCAAATTGTCGAAATTCATCGGGCAAATTGAAAGATGGGGAGGAGACAGAAGTGGAGAAAACACCGCAAAAGGAAGCCACTTTACCTTCAAACCCCTCCCCAAGGTCCGAAGAATCCACCACAAACACCTGATTGTCGCCTAGCGTGAGTTGATGACCTTGTTGAACGCTTCCGGATGCCGACCAGGACTGGGAGTCCAACCAGGGCAGACCGAAAATGGCATCCACCGACCCCAGGCACGTCACCCCGAAAGAACACGGGAGGGTGATTGGCTGCGCATCCGTGGAAGACATCACAATCTCACCCGACCAATCCTTCGTGACGATCCCTCCTACCCCACTGCTCCCGTCAAACCCGACGCACTTGATCGGCTTTTGGCGGTTGTGAGTTGGGAGACCGTGCTTGGCGACGAATCGATCACTGATGAAATTCGCCATGGAACCGGTATCAATGAGAACCGAAGCGATGGTTGACTGTGCAGAAGATGTCTTGAAAGACACCGGGAATCAGCATACGTCCCGCCTTCGAGCAATCCAATTGAACCTGGATTGTGGAGACCCCTGCCTCTTCGACTTCCTCCAACAGCTCTTGGAAGGCGAAGGCTGACCGATCAAGCTCCGAGACATCCGGCTCCGCGACGAAAGGACCAGGCAAATCCGTTTGTTGATTCGAAACTTGTTGATGTTGGTGATGTTGATCGATGGGTCTTGCTTGGTAAGGCGAGGGAACCGAGAACATTGATCGACGCTTGGTGATGCTTTCTCCCGGCGGACGCGGACCGAACGAAACTTCAGACACTTGCACAGGAACCGCAAAACGATATTGTTCCACAAACTTCTTGCGCGCTTCCGGGGTGACCCTCCCATTCGGACAGTTCAACGAATTTGTGTGATCCGGCGGGACCGTTTTCTGAAGACAACGGAAACACACCCGTTGAGCCAGGCACACCATTCGAAAAAGCCTTTCGAACCGTTGTTCCGGGGTCTGAGCACCCCTCGACGAGACAGCGTCTATATCCATAGCGTCCGGGGATCTGTTGGTCGAGTTCGGGTGTTGATAGGTAGCCGGAGGAGCGAACGACGGCTGCCGACCGGAATTTGACGGATTCGAATGATGGGTGGTAGAGGGTGAACTGGAATGATTGGAAGTATGTCGGTTAGGAATGCGGGACAAAGCCGCCAACTGTCGCGATGCATCCAATGCCCTCCGCATCTTCCCCGCTAAGGTAGGTTCTTCCAACCATTCTTTGGACATCGCTTTGTTGATGATATCGTAGTTCAATCCTTCTACATATTTGTCGATCCTGGCGTCTTCAGAGTTCACCACCTGATAACATAGAGTGGAGTATTCCGCATTGTACTCCTCAATCGAACGCTTTCCTTGCTTGCACGCCGCCAAAGCCCTCTTCGCTGAATCGAGTTGAAATTTGTCACCAAAGGAATCAATCAAACCCTGCTCGAAAGTCGTGACAGAGGTCAACATTGGATGAACGAAAGGCATTCGATCCAAATCGGCATATGGATTATATTCCCCCTGAGCTCTGGCGTTCGACAATACCAAGGCGTTGTACCAGTTCTCGGCGGCGCTTGGAGAGTCGCTTTTTTCTGATGGTCGATGCCCGAAATGACGAGATATCCATACGATCATCCTCGATTGTGACGCGAAGAACGCCTGTCTTGGGTACAAGAAATCCCGAATCGCCCGCAAGAAGGTGGCCAGCTGCTTTGTTTCGCCAGAGAACCACAGTTCCGCGATCTTTGGGGGCTCAAGGTACACCGGATTGACACCTTGATTATCCGATAATTGCTCATGAGTCGGGAAGGGAAGGGGTGCTTGCTGTGGTCCTGGGGGAGGAGGTTGCGGCGCTCCTGCCATCGATACCGCCGATCCCTGAACCTGAGTTGCCGAAGGATGAGAGCTGGGGTTCCCCTGGTAAAACGCGAAGTGAGACGCATCAGGCTGTCGCGCCGCTGTACCCGTAGTGACTGGATCAAAGATGAGGGCTGGTTGTTGAGGTTGTTGCGGTTCGGTCGCCTTGATGATACCGATAAGCGTCTCCAATGTAGTCGTCACACGGTCCATCCGGGAATCCAAACTTTTGAATCTTTCATCTGCCGATTGTCCTTGAAGATTCGAAGAATCATTTCCTTCTTGATGTTGTTGTTGTTGTTGAGAGTCCGGTTCCTTGCCTTTTTGATTCATGTCTGGTTCTGTTGCTGAAGCTGAAAATTTTCGATTTTTTGAGAGGATTTTCTGATGAAACAAATTTGCTTGTCGACTCGTCTGGTTACAAGGTCGATGGCGAGTTCGGGTTGCAGGGAGAAGATTTAGAGGGAGGTTGGAGGTACGTGATAGTGGTGATGGTTTTCGAAACAAAATTGACAAGTGCGGTGGAATCTGTCTTGTTGACGAGGGAACTTGTTGAGGTGACGTGAGAAAAGAGGAAGAGGAGGATGGGTGTGCAACTGGAGGTGACTGGCGTGTGATAGAAGAATTTGGGGAGTACCACTGAGTACGGGAAGAGTTTGGTGTGGAGGAACCTGAAACGTCAGAGTCCTCCTCGTTTAACTTTGGGAGAGTGTAAGACGGAATGTTGAATATCTATGCTACTTGTATATTTGTGAGAGACTTATAATGTAAAGAATTCGGGGACTTTGGAACTTTAGGACGGCTAGTTTCACTTGAAACTCTTTACTTGAAAACTGAGGTTTTATTTGTAAGACTTTTTACGTTGTATGTATTTGTGGATTGCGTATGTTTTTAGAATAATAGAGAAAAATAACAGAATAAGTCTCTTAAGGAAAACAGAAAGAGATGGAAATCAGGGAACTATTTATAGATTTTTTTTTTTTTTTTGCAGAAACAAAACGAGAGACAAGAGACTTTTGTTCATGATTGTCAACAGAAGAAGTTTATCGTGAAGTAACAGTTTTGTAACCTATCCTTTGATCCGTAACTAGAAAATGAATGATTTTATATAAAGCGAGAGAATTTAAAACGTTGCAAGGATAGAAAAAGACAACCTAAATAAAAGAATCGTTACAGGTAGAAATAAAAATTTTTATTTTATTTATTTATTATATTTATTTATTTATTTTTTTTTTTTTTGTTCGCAGGGTTTCCTGGCCTGATTTTGACACTCGTGAATCCATAATCTCAGGACCGCTCATGGCCCTGAGATAATTATTGGATGTCGGCGGCTTATCGTCGGGCCACCCCCATCCTGCCTGGTGGACATGGGTCAACACCCCGACCACGCCGACCCCCTGGCTTCAAAGCTGCCAATTTGACGTCGGCAGACAGGAAGGTTTGGCTGGGTCGGCGGAGGTCGGTTCATCCGTCAGAATACCGGGCGGGTTGGCGTCGAGATGCACCCGTGGTGTAACTAATCCCTTCCCTTCCTGGTCGGAGTGGTAAACCACTTGTCGCATTGCGCCGACCTTCGGAGGGTCCCTGCGGGACAGCGTCCCCCCTCCAATAGGGGGACTTAGTTAAGTTAGGTAATAATCTGTCTCCTGTCACAGACAGATGGGCCAGCATATAAATCCCCATTTGCTGATGGGGAAACTCCCTGGTGCTTTACAACTCATCCCCTGGCGCAAAAGCCAAGGCCTGGTTCTAAGCTTCAACGTGGCTCCAGTCTTATATATGTGCTCAAAGGCTGTAGCCGGGGTTTGAAATTCTTTTTGGATCTCAAGAATGGGGTCTTCCTCAAAGTATTTAAGAGAGTGTGGTTCATATGATTGTGTGTTGAGATTTCAACAATCTTCAAATATGGCATGTTCAACATGAAAATAAATATCATCATCAGAGAATTAAGAGAGTCGAGTTCACACAAACGTTTTTTCAAGTTCACGTTATCTTTCACGACTTCGTGAAGGGAAAGGACGGGGGAAATGGGTGGGTCTCAACCAAGAAGTTGGGTTCAGATTTATGGTAGAGGTTTTTGAGCCAAAAAAATCTACATCCTGAAGAGACATCTGGACCAACTTCTCACTTTGATGCCGGGTGCGTCAAATGGTCACGTGGGATCACTTGCAGGTCTCTGCGTTTGAAGCTTTGTCTCGCTCAGATTTTTATTCCTAAGCGAAAAACGATGAGTCAAGTCACAAATTTTCGTACTTCTCATGCAACAGTAGAACCGTTTGAAAGGGGCACCTGTTTCCATGGGGGTCACCATCCAAGGCAATGGGCTGCAATGATGGCCTGGCGAACCAACCGTTTGCCTATAATAAGAGCCTTTGTCTTAGACCACGTCTAACATCACAATTGATTGGATGATGATAAACAGCAACATCATTCCCAGCACCGGAAACTATCCAAAAAACCTAACCGATAGCTGCTCGGACATCGCTTGCTAGAGCAGTTTTTGGCGATAATGTGCAAAACTGCAATATGATGGAAAATGTTAATCCATTCCATCAAGATCTGGTCGGAAGTACAGATCTATTCACTCTGCACAAAACCTTGTCAAATTGCACCGAAAAAGTAAACCGAAATATTCATAATAAAATTGAAGCTCATGCCAGTACATACATTAAGATGACAGAGATAGAAAACCACGATTGAGTAATGAATATTAATAATCGAGAAACTTTTGTTCTGATCGAATCGGTTATCTTGCAAGAAACTCGAGCCGAGCCATGTCTTCTGAGTTCTACGTTCGGGAAAACTAGGATTTCATACATGCACTATGTCCACCCAGTCTTTTATCCAAAACGAGATATCTCCTGAGTAAGGGGCTTTGAACTCAACCACTCTCATGACCGTTGGATTCAATTCGTCCCAATGATAAAAGTCTTTGGTGTTCGGATTATGCAATAAGAACGATATCTTGCGATTGCTCAAGTTCTCAACAATGACGCTCTGGTACTCTCCCTGACTGTCTACTCCACTCCAGGTTAACGAAGCCTTCGCGCCTTCGAATTGATGCTGAATTCCGGTAGTGTCTGCTCCAAGCTGCGTCCCACATTGGGGATTCGCTGCGATAAAATTTACGAGGTACCGATACTTGAAATTAGTCAAGGAGGTAACCGGAAGCCACCGGCCATACTGGTCGACTGGGGAAATAACATTTTGGTTGAGCGTGACTTTGAGGTCAGTTTTTCTGCGTCCGAGTTCCGCACATTGTTCAGGAAATTGAATACCCACCATCGGCAAAATGACTCAATGTACTGCTAGCATTGCCGATCAAGCACGCTACCCAAAGCATAAAACCGTAATTTCTCATCGTTTCGTCGATTTTAAGGGGCCTTCCGGTTCTGGTTTTGTGACCAATCGTTTGGAATGCAAAAGTTAAACAAAAAGAGCAAAGATCAATAAATCATGCGTATGTTTTACTTTTTTGGAAAAACGTGATGGAAGCAGATCAGCCCTGGGAAGGATCATATGAGAGATCTGGCACGGATGAAAGGGATGTAGCTACCTTTTAGCTGATATTTCCTGATAATTAAAGCCTGTTTAGCGGAGAAAGTTGAGGACGGTTGTGCAACAGGTAAGAGATGTTTTGCAGGTGCGGTACTGGATGTGAAAGGTGCTATATAAAGGAATCCAGACAAGGGCTCTTTATAGTGAAGATGCAGCTATCCTTGGACCTTGGTTGGCAGCCCAGTGTTTCGCTTGTAGGGAAATTTGACAAAGCACCAACGCACTGAAATCCGTTTCGGCTTCCAAAGAGCTTTTATTGTAAGCAGCTAGCAACATTTTTAGACCATCAGGATGAACATGATACAAAAACGCTTTTAGACTCAAACTGTCCCCAATTCAACCATGCATGTACATTTTAGAATGCTTCAAGACGGGTGGCTCGGATGGTACATTTTCGGTAGGGCATATTCACTAAAGCCCTTCAGAATGGCCGAAGCGCCCTTCTTCGTTGTCGCAGGCCAAAAATCGGCCAAGAAACAGCCCTGTCCGAAGGTCACCTGAGGGATTTCATGTAAGTTGTAACTAGTCCCCTGCTCGCTGTTACATGCTTGGAAGTCAAGTTTCGCTCACGGCTTCTGCTCGTTGGGATCGTTTCCCGGCAAACAGTGGTTTCAGATGGACAAGCAATAGATTCTTTGGAAACAAAATGTCGAATAAATATGTTGGTGTTTTTGCTAGCGTTTCTGTGCTAGGCCATTTTGAGATGGCCGAGACGCCCTCCTTCGTCGTCACTGACCAACACCAGCCAGCAAAACCCCGCTAACAGTTGTTAAGATGGTTGAAAGTCAGAGAGGGAGTGTTTTGCTCATCAATGTTCTTTGGGATTGTGTCTCGGCAAACAATCTGCTGGGTTTCGGATGATCAAGGACTAGATTTTTTGGAACCATCCTGCCCAGTAACGCGGCGGCGGTAGCGGGGTCCCGCAAAAAAAAAACGCAAACAGTTTGCTGTTTTTGCTGTTTTCCACGAACTTACAAGCACAAGTCCCCAGTTTCAGTGGGCCCCGAGATTGGAGCGGAAGGCCCTGAAATTCGTGTTTTCCAGGCGAATTGACACAATGTCAGCCACTCAGTGATCTCTCGCCCTCAACGGGACAGCCGATTGGCACCTATCAATTGGAAGTTAACCCTCAAGGACAAGCTTACCGGGCTAAAGTAGAAAGTCCGGCTTTGTAGGGCCCAGTATTGCCTAGGCTAAGGGCCCTGCCTGATGCATAGTACCCATGCGAAGGGGGGGGGTTTGCAAGCAGCACCAGCCAAATAAACTAATTCAAGAGGTTATTGGGCAAACTCTCTCCAGACTCCATTAGCTGTGCACCCTGGGTGTAGAACTTTTTGGACAACTATCTGATAACAGATCGGACAGAAATGTCCAGGCAGTTCTTACCAGCAATGGCGCACAGCCTGATGGAAAATTGAATGTGAACAAAATCCAATGATTGTGCAAAGACTCATGTACATACTCAAGGTGCACAAAGCCTATTCGAGTGCACAAAACCTCATAAAGTTAGAAATGAACAGTTGATGATATTCACAATAAAGTTGAACGCAGAAGATATGTAGTGCTATTGGCGAGAAACAAATGATAGAAAACTGAACGTATTCACAAGAAAAAGTAAGATTTAGATAAATGAATTTCATTCAAGATTATTCGAGTGGTTAGTTTCCTCAGAAACTCGAGAGATAGGCCCTATCGTTGGAAAAAACGTTTGTACATAGCATCCCCTTATTCTTTAGGTCCGGCCAGTATAAACATCGTGATGTCGCCATCGTAGGAACCTTGACCCATTCCAAACGAAACGGGCTCGATGTGCCTTGATTTTAGACCGCTACCATAGTACCATAATCCGCTACTGTGAGCCATCAGTGCGTAGGATATGGGGTAATTACATTGGTTATGAATAACAACACCATTCTTCTGGGCACTCCAGGTTAACGTAGCTTTCGCGTTGCCAGATGTGTAACCGACGCTTGTTTCGTGTGCTTTTAGGCGTGCTCCCGAACCCAAACTTGGACTGAGCTGATGCACAACTAGACGTTCCTCTGCAGATAGGGAGGGAAGGTCTCCCTCTGAAATCCAGTCTTTAAGTGTGACGCCTTGGTAAACAGCGTTTTGGTTGAGACCAAGGTTAGAGCTTCTACTTTTGTCGTGTGAGTGGGACTTGCTTGTCAGTAAAAATTCATGACTCACGACTAACTAATGCCATTTTACTAGCAATCAAGCAAGTAAACCAAAGCGCAATCATGAACGCGTAATTTTTCATCGCTCCGTCAATTGTCGGTTGGTATCTGGAATTGCAAAGTTGCGAGTCAAGAAAAATAAAAATTCCAATTGCAGACGTCAATAAACATAAAAACGCAAAGGAATTGGCCGACTGTTTGATGTCAAGATAATTAAGCCTGGATCAAAGAAGAGTCAAGCATGGTTGAAGGAATTGTAGCTACATTTATGGTTAGTTTTTCTTGGTGCTTCGAGCCTGGTCAGCTGAGAAAGTCGAGGAGCGCTACGGTTGGGATATACTGGGAAGGTTTGGTCAGGAGCGGTACTGGGCTGGAGGAGGATAAGTTAAGGGCATCTTATAGTCGAAATCGCCTCTCGTCGGCCGCTCATCCAGACGTTTTCCGTTAACGACGTATGTACCGATCGGAATTCTAGAAAACAATGTCGTATTGAGATCTGTTTCAGCTGAGAGCACTCAATTCTTTCATGCAAGTTAGAATCGTTGTGTCGTCGGCTTCCTAAACTGAAAGGACAATGTATCCCGACGTCACACCATGTGGTACAACATTTCGGGCCTCCATATATCCTCCGCTTGCCGGCATCGTTTGACTGCAATCAGTTTTGTTTTGCGGGTTTCAAGATGAACCTAGATAAACAAAAGTTTTGTTAGATCAAGAGCAGTTTTCCGGATGACCGAAACGCCCATATCATAGCATCTAAATTTGTTCGACATTAAAGCCATTCAAAGCGATTTAACTGGTCGCTCCCGTATGCTTGGAATCCACATGATTGTGGAAGATGTGGTTGTTTGGTCGACCGGTTCGGGCATGATCAAATGAACTCTATATGGTGGTAATGGTATTTTCCCGCTTGTCGTCGGCATCGTTTCTCGGCAAACCAATTTATGGGGTTTCAGGCTACCTGAGCACAACTTTCAAACCGCTGCGTGACCCAGATAGCGCCGTCGGACCTCCCCGGAGCCGTTCGATCATACTCGAAGCTTACTAGTAACCTTTTCTAGTGTCAAACCACTTCCGAACGCCGTTAGCTGCGTATTTGCTAGAATATTGGAATGCGTTCTATGTAAGCCTATCCAGACTTTCAACTTTCTATGGGAGAGGTGTGCATGTACAGTGGGTGGACTGAAATTTTTGGCGCCCATTTTATTTATTTTTAAGGGCCAAGATGGCTTTTTGAGGCTCCAGGTTTTTGGTCACAGGGGCTCTGGGGGCTCACAAGAATGATAGGATACTTCTTTTAATTACTCAACACACAAAAAGAAAGATAAAAATTATTTTGTTTTTTGACCATTTTCTATCTACAAAAGTAATCTTCTTAAAAATAAGGGAGCTGGAAGGGGGGATGGAGAGGAGTCTGGGAAGAATGATTATAAGGAAAAAACCTGAAACATATTTTGTATTTTATTTTGGGGCTTGGTTAATCGACTCCCAAAAGTTGGAGAGTCGACTCCCAAACCCCCCAAACCCCCGAAATTCCCCTGTATCCCCCGAGTTTTGGGAGTCGATTCCCCAAACCCGTCAGCGGGTTTGGGAGTCAAATCCTCAAAAATTTTAAATAAAAAAAAACAAAACCCCCGGAGGGGAACGGAGTCGATGCCCCAAAACCCAGTGGGTTTTGGGGGTCCGCAACGGCAAAAAGAGCCCTTGATGGCCGGGAT